AGGTAGTGGGGTATAGGAAGTGAGCCCTTGCTAGTCAGGGCTTCCCATCTGCTGCATCTAAGTCATACAGACCTGCGGCTCACGTGCTAGCCCCTCCTGCTCAGACCTCATGGGGTCATCAGGGCTGTGAAATGCCAGGTTGAGCCTATGGTCTTGCGGCAGCTCTGCATGAGCCTGTCTCTGCATAGCATGGAGGGGCTGGTGTGCCAGAGTTCCCTGACTTCCATCATCTTGGCGCATTGCCCAGGGGCTAGAATACTTTCACTTCCTTTCCTTCTGAATACTTATGTCTCAAAAGAATCATTATCACCAGGCACAGTGGCTCACACCTATGATCCCAGCACTTTGGGAGGTGAGAGGATTGCCTGAGCCCACGGGTTCGAGACCATCCTGGGCAACTTGGCGAGACCTTATCTCTACAATAAAGCAAAAAATTAGCCAGGTGTGGTGGTGTGTGCCTGTAGTTCTAGTTACTTGGAAGGTTGAGGTGGAAGGATCACCTGAGCCCAGCAGGTTGAGGCTGCAGTGGCCGTGAGCATGCCACTGCCCTCCAGCCTGGGTGACAGAGTGAGACTCCAACTCAAAAAAAAAAAAAAATTATTATCAGCTTTACCTATTTTCTTTTTTTCCCTGCAATAGCACACTCCCGAATCAATGACTCCTTTTGAAATTTTGCGGCAAACCCCCTCTCCTGCCCTTCCACACTGCTGATGTCCTTTGGCTACAGTTGGCTAATGCCTTTTTTGTCTCCATACTTCTGCATGTGTTAGAAGGACTCTCCTTTCTCTTCTGGGCTAAATAAACCCTTATTTTCCTTTTGAAAAGCAGTAGAAGCTGATACTCTTTGACATAAATAATTCAATTCAACCTAGTGTACAGGCTTGTCTTCTTTGTATTAGGTGGGATGGGCTGGGACAGGGTTGTCAAGAGGAGTGGGAGGGCCGTGGAGGCCAATTTGGGCTTGGTACAGGGAGAGCCTGGGAGAGGTGTGAAGCTCCCAGCAAGTCACTTTGGGGCTTCTTGACCCCAGCGTGACCTTGGTGCTCATTTGCCAGCTGAGCACCCACTTATAGCATTTGATATGTCGGGCACTGCCCAAGGGCTTTGTGGATGTCCATTCACTTGACCCACACTTTAATTGTACAATAATCCCCACTTTATAGACAGAAACTGAGGTGCGGAAAGGAAAGTGACTTACCTAAAACTGCATGTCTGCTAAGTGCTGGAGCCAGGATTCCAGCCCCCAAAATTGGTCCAGATTCTGCACCACAGAGCATCCTGCACTGTAGCGTGTTGAGCAGCATCCCTGGCCTCCGTCCACTCATGCCATATGTACCCCTTCCCCCAAGTTGTAACAACCAAGAATGTTTCTAGTCAGTGCCAGATGTCCTAGGCACAGAATCACCCCAGGTGAGACCTCTATCCCACAATGCTTGTCTCATCTCTGAAATGCCACCTTCTTGGCTAGGACTTTCAGTATGATAGGAAATGTCTTGCAACTCGTGATTTAACTTTTTTTTTTTTTCCAGAGTCTCACTCTGCCTCCCAGGCTGGAGTGTAGTGGCATGCTCATGACCACCGTAGCCTTGACTTGCTGGGCTCAGGCGATCCTTTTGCCTCAGCCTGATAAGTAGCTGGAACTACAGTCTTGTACCATCATGCCTGGTTAGTTTGTTTGATTTATTGTAGAGATGAGATCTTGTCAGGTTGCCCAGGCTGGTCTTGAACCCCTGGGCTCAGCAGTCCTCTTGACTCCACCTCCCAAAGTGCTGGGATTACAGGCATGAGCCACCAGCAATTGTTTTCTATTTCTATTTGAAAATACGTATTTTTGTTGTCAGTGGCCACTTGAAAGCAAGTCACAGATATTTTGACACTTCATCTTTAAACACTTTACTATGCATCCCCTGTACAAGGACATTCTTTTAAATAACCATGGTAAATTTTCATGCCTAAAAAATATGAGTAATTCCTAATATCTGTTGCCTAGTCTATATTCAGATTTGCCTATTGTTTTAGAAACATCTTTATGGGTATTTTCACATCAGGACCTGGTCAGGGCCCACACCTTGCACTTGAAGTTGTGTCTACCTGGGCTCCTAATCTGCAATCATCTTTCCACTTTTTTCCTTTGACTATTTATTTACTTCTTGTTATGAGAGATTGCAAATATTTACAGAAGTGGAAAGAATGTGTGCCTGTGGCTGGCAACAGTAGTTCTTAACTCAGGGATCTTGATGTTGTGATGAGGCCAGGCTGTTGTTGGAGAATGTCTTACACATAGATCTGCTTGTTGGGGTATTTCCAGGTCCACTGATAAGGTACATCGAACACTAGAGGCACAGGTGGTGGCTGGTAGCCAATGTTAGCTCTCATTCAGTGGGAACAGGTCAGAACCAGAGCAGAACCCTCTTGAGCTAGGGGAACGAACAATTGCTGGCAATGGCATTATATACCTGGCCCTAGGTGTGGGCTCAGGCCATTGTGCCCTGAATCTGCTTGACTTCTTCACCCAGCACCTTCTTCAGAGGCCATGCCTCTGCCTCAGACTCTGGCCTTCTCTGACTGGACATGTGCCCTGCTTCCTCCTGGCTGACCTCCCAACAAGTTGCCCCTGCCCAGACCTGCCTTCTCACTGCAGGAGAACCTGGTCTGGGCCCACCTGGCTCTGGCTCAGTTTGCTGCCCACCCTATTCTCGAGCAGCCCCCAACCTCTGAGTACATATTCTCGTTTTCCGGCCTCATGGGCCTTTCTCCTGCTCCTCAGAAATATCCTGTGCTATCCTGGCATCAGGCCTTCAAGGACGCTGTGTCCTTTGCCCAGAGACCTCCGCAGTGTCCACGTGGGAGCCCAATGTGCAGCCCTAGATCGAGGGACCCCTTTCTCCTTGGTGATGTCCCAGCTGACCCTGTGGCTCCGTCTGTGGTCCCTGTCTCACGCTTGGGCCTGTTGCCATGCTGCTCCTTATGAGCAAGGCTTGTTCAGTTGGTGTGTGCTAGAGACAATGTGGAGGAGGTGTCTGAACTTCTTCAACAAGGGCCACGTGAACAGGACCTTGAGAACAGGCAGGGCTGGAAGCGACCAGGCAGGGTTGCCTTGGGAGAGACCACTGTGAAGAATCCGGTATGGCAAATTCTCTTCTAATGGATGAGGTGGGCAGTGATTGGGATCCTAGCCTGGAGGCAGCCTTCAATAGCCACTTACAAACTGCTGTTCTGTCTGAGCCACTCCACTGCCTATGGGCACAGTTACTGGGTCTCTGGGCCTCCTGCTGTGGATGTGGCTGGGATCGGGAGGTGAGGCTGGATGGGCACCAGGTATATAGAAGTTCATGAGTCTCTGCCCACTGCTGGCATTGCCACCTGGCTGCCTCTGGGGTTTTCCTTTTGAATCAGCACTTGCTGCATGTGGCCTTGATGAGCAGAGGTTTCTGTCAGCCCCTGTCCTCTTGGGATAGTAGGTCATGGATCTTTTACTTTGACTTTTATGTTGTTTGCAGTCCTTGAAATTGCCTGCAGCGCTCTGTGTTTTGGCCAGAAAGCAATTGGCAAGTCATTTCCATGCTTGACTCAGTGTTCATGATAAGTGTTAACATCTGTGCTGCAGGTTATGACTTGCTGTGAACAGTCTTTTTTTTCCCCCCATAATCCTGATTTGTTAAAAGAACTCCCAGCTGGGAAATTTGTGGTTGAGGGAGTTGTAAGACCTCATAGTTCAAATAAGATTGGGTGACCAAGGTTTCTAGTGAGTGTGTGTGAGCATTGGTGTTTTCATAGTCACAAAAATAAGGCAACGCATTGTGTAAAGTCCTGTGGCATTGACTGGCACATAATATACTCTGGCCACCCCTGCCCTCCTCCAAGTAGAAGCTGTCCTGGGTCCTTGTCTCTGGATCTCAGTAAGTTGTAAGTTCCTTTACCTTTGTTGGCTTTTTTTTTTTTTTTGAGTTGGAGTCTCACTCTGTCGCCCAGACTGTAGG